GACCATAAACTGGACAACAAAGGGTTAAATCCTCTGGCCAATGTGTCTACCGTTAGCGCTTATGCTAATAAAATAATTCCTCGGATAAAACTCCTTACAGTGTAAAGTCTCGTCTTTCCAAATTTTGAGAAATTAAGAATCCGATGATGCTGACTGATACGACTCTAGATTACTATTCTTCGCATATAAAAATGGAACCCTCGCAATATGAAAAAAGGAATGCTGATCGAATTCAAATGAATTCTTCCTTCCTATTACATCCAATTTTAGAAAGCTCGATCTCGATTTCAAAATAACGATGTACTATAAGTTTTTTTTAAAAAATAACAGAACTGTACGAGAAATTATTTGAAAAATGACGAATATGCGCGAAGTTTGACTAACGAGAGCTATACCGCGTCAGCTAACGTGGGTCATCGATGTTACAAAATGCGTTAACTGTGTCAAAGAATGAAAAAATATCACATTCGTTTAGGGGTCTAACACAGGAAGATTTATCGATAGAGCGATTCGGGGGATGCGTATTCATCGCGGTGGTCACTGCGATTTTTGTTGAGGGTTTGTTTCCGATTGTTTGCCGAAAAAAAGCTTGTAAATCAATACTCCTCAGTGCACAGTGGGGAATATAAATTATTGGCGAAATGTTTTGAAATGTTTTTTATTTTCTTCCTTGCCTCTAGTTTCGTGTTGCAGAAAAATCAACTGTTTGGATCCGAACTAGGTTTCTCGCTAATAAAAGCATGCCTTTCCTCTGACTTCCTATTCGCCGTAAAGATTTCGAAAATGTCGAGGAATTTGGCTGAGGAAATTATGTGCAACTTTTTCTTTTTTTAATTGACATTCAAATCGATATGCTTTCGAAGATACACTTGTGCTATATTTTTATCGAAAGCTTAGACAGGAATAGAAGTTACCCCATGTGTTTGTTTTTAAATGAAATTCCTCAGGACCTGAGAACATTTTTAAATATCAGATGACAATCTTATAGGTATCGCGTGCAAGAATATAATTAAAGATTCAATCTCTTACTTTCATTTACATATCTCATCATTCTAATTCATAGTTAGGATAATTGCACCGTGACGAAAATCTACGGACCACCTAGCTCGCACATTTGAATAATTCCTACATTACGTTCGTTGAAAAATTGTTGCATTTCGCGGTTGTATAGTCGTATACGAGTTATAATCTAACATACATTTCTCCAACTGCGCTTTCATGAGCACAGTATGTTGCATTTTTAAGAACACAGAATTCTGCATAACAATATAGCAACAACTATAGATTCTCCATTCAACGATGCTTTACATGGTGGAAAACATTCTTTATACCATATATCTCTCGCCAATCTAATACTATAATTGCCAAAATAAACTCCAAATTACACAGGTTTCACGAATTTTATAAATCATAACAAAAGAATGAAATTTCGTGTGTACATGTTTGAATAGAGATCTTGCTAGAGATGAAAGATGTACGGTGTTTGTGATTGTACGATCGTAAACTACTTCAAAAATAGTAATCACTGTCCTTTGCCTCTCTAAAACGATCAACCCCTGCAAATTTCAAACCCTATTTTAATTTGCACCCTCGACTAAAATCCAAACTCTGTAAAATTCAAAAACCTCTAAAGAACGCGAAAGATGGCAGGTAAAATTCGCGAGAAAAATGGGAGCACGCTAAAAATTTAATCGAAAAGAGACTCAAAGCGTCTATACAGGAGGCACGACTTAATTTCGACGAGCATGACTGGGAATCCCTCTGTCCGCGAACAACCGAATTCCCTCAGAATTCTCTGGGTCCTTGGACCAGGAATTCCGCCCTTCGAATATCGTATTTTATGTTAGTCGGGTACATATTTTAGAAGCATTCACTCCGCGGGTGGTAAACGAAGGAGATCGTGGTACAAAGGTGAGAACAGGCGCGAAGAGGGTTGAAAGAGAGACGGAGATCGGTCGTGGAGAACGACGTCGGGGGTATGTCCTCGCCTCTCTGCATTCAGGAATGTCGCCGAGTTATTTTAGGCTCCTGTTCTCATCCTTCCTTGCCGTTCCCTTGCCGTTCCGCGAACGCTATTCTCGCGAGCCACGTTTACGCGGCGTAACGAAATAATGAAGAGGGGCACGCCGACGTATCGCGTTCTCCACTCCCTCGAGCCGAACCACCCCCCAGGCTCAGACGCTGACAGCTAAAGAAACACCCTTTTCAACTTTGCACTTCCCGCATGATTCCTTCGCGAGTCGACGAGCCAAGTTTACGATGACGGAACGGGGGCCTGATATTTTCTTGAGTAACCGGGGAACGGCCACGCGAGTTTACGAGGAGAACGACGCCTGCTTATGGCGTCGCCTGGTTTTAAGGGCTATCCACCCGCAGGAGATCGTATAAATTTTGTTATCGATTAAGGGATGGAGTGTGTTCGCGATACTCTTCGATGATGGCACGTTGAGGATTCTTAGGGTAGATTTACAGGCGACGTATGTAAATTATACACCGTATATAATGTAGATTTATCGAGATCTTCTACGTGTTTATGGTATTCTTATACGTGCTACGTATGTGACAATTTTTATCCATACGTGGTATTTCTCTATGTGGAATATGTGGTAAGTTCACTGAAATTCTTCTTGAAAATTATCTTCGTCGGAAGATTATAAAGCGGTTTGAATATCGATCACAAGTTAATTAACGGAAGTTTAGTACGTTTTTAAAAATACTAGTATATTAACCCCACTTTAAATTTAGCCAGACTCTGCGTTCTATTACGTACTGTCTATCCTTCAACTTTATTCGTACAACGACGCTGCCGACTGAATCACGGCAAAATCTACCGAACAATACACCTGCATCATACGCGTTTATTTACTTGGCCCATTCGTAGCGCGAAAGTGGTTCAAAGAAGCGGCGTTTAATTAATTTAAAAAACACCGTTGCAATTTAAAGAGTCCACGTAACGCATCGTCGCAGCCGCTATTATTCACTTGACTTCTCCTCAAGGAGGAAGCCACTCGCATCGTGTATTCCCGGAGGACAGCCTTTCCATTAAGCGAAGTATCTTACTCTCGGCTTTGCAAATAATACGATGATGGAAAAAAGTAGCGGGTGTAGACGGGAAGTGGCCCGTAACGAGCATTAAATTGCATTTTCATTGTTATCGCGACATTGCTCGCCGTAATTCAACTAGCACGGCAGCGTGAGTTTTGATTTTCTTATCTTGTTTATCGAACCAGCTCAACTACTCGAACCCTCTGTTTTTCGCGTGCAATTATATCACGAATGAAATAAAACCGGGGCGATTCCCTTTCTTCTTCACGTTTCCTGTATCCATTGCGCGAGCCTCGTGCTAGAAACTCTCTGTCCCGGAGACCTACATTTTCTATTGAAATATTTCAGATAAATACCCTACAATTTAATGAAATATTTAACGATTCAAGTAGGCCTATTGGACTATTAAAAATGGCGAAACAAACTTTCCGAATCGAGCTATATATTCAATTTCTCCTTAGTCGGTCTTTGCTCGTGTGAAGTGGAAGATAAATCATTTTTGTAATTACGAGACAGGCTTTCTCAGAAAAATAAGAAATATCCACTCGCGTATGAAATATTCGATAAATTCTACTAATTAACGTTAATCGAGTAACAAGCGAAATGTTTAAATTGCTTATATGCACTATATGTTATTTATTTTCTTTATTATCCTAATATTTGATTTAATTATTTGGAAAAAATAATAATTAACGCGAGAAAATTGAAAATAAATAAATTAAAAGAAGAAGTTTCATACCAGTGAAAGGAGACATTTGTCGAATGTAAGACTAACTAGAATAAATTATTTAATTTCTCATCTTGTTCTGTTCGAATCTTAAAATTATTCGCTGCTTATGTAGAAGTAGATTACAAACAAGATCCTAATACTTCGGAATTACGATAAAATCTATATAGCTGCTTTCACCTTTCTCGGGTGTCTGTTGCTTCTATCTTTCTCGATTGTAAACTTCCAACTATCCAACTCGAGATTACAAAGAAACACGTTCTGCTGGATTCTCTCGCTATTCAGCAAACGTTTGACAAAGTTCGAAAATTTCAAAGGGTTTACGAAGTTGTAGAAATACATGTTCATAAAAGAACGTTTCAAATGAATTGTCACCCTGCCACAAAAACCAAAGAATGGAAGACCATTTTTACGACTCATCTACTGTCTTTGTTCCGTTTTCTATCTTTTGTCCATTTAATTGCTCGGTATCTCGAACATGCATCTCTTCAGTCCAATTTCGTTTTTCTCCAACAAACTTGTTCCTCTATCTAATTGTAACGTGTAAGATTACGAGTTAATTTCTGTTGCAAAAATGAGCGAGGAAAAGCTTTCAGTTTTCGAATCCTTGAAAATTTATCACAAATAATGTCTACTTTCTTTTGAAATTGGTAGAATTTAAATGACAAGAATTTAACACCAATATATGCTACAGTTCCAAACACTATTACAAATTCACAATTGAAAAATCGAATAACTGAAAAATAAAACACTTCTGAATGAATTCCACGAGAATTATTATATTCTAACACTGAAAAATCCATTTTCATATTTTAGAGTATTCTATCGTATACCATTGCAACGAGTATAGATAATAAAATCACTGCATAATCTTTCATTCATGATTCTACGTTAAATTATATTTCGAGGTACCCCTAGATACGTCTGATAACATATAATAAATTCTACCGATTTCAACCTCTTAAATCGTAAAAGAAACTACCAAACTATCCTAAGCGTGATTCACAGAATGCAAGATATTTCCTGAAAAGATTGTAAAAACAATTTACGTTTTCCAAACACGATACTTTGAAATGTCCTATTCAAACATAAATTTCATCCGAAGAAAAAAGAAAGAAGAAAAGAAAAAGAAAAAGCAAGAAATAGCAATCTTGCTGGTATCATTTCAAAATATCTTGCAAACTCTCTCACGCACACTCCAAACATAAACAGAAAACAATAGGAGGACTCACGTGTTTTCCTTCTGATCGCCGTTGCTCGATTGCGACGACGGCGACGGCTGCTGCGCCTGTTGCTTCGAGTACGGATGATGATGATGCACGACGTTGTTATTATTGTTGTTGTTGTTGTGCATGTGCACCTTGTTCGCGTTGCTGTCGGTCGGGGAACTCGGTGAGATCTTACCCGCCAGAGCGTTTAACGATTGAAGCATTTTCATGGCGACCGGTTCTCGGCGTCTCCTTCCCTCAACCTCGTTTATCTTTGAGGAAGACAGGATTACTCTTCGTTTCCGGTTTGAAGGCGTCAACCCTCAAACTCTTACCGTACACGTGGTGAACCAACAAACGGATCACGTACACGGAACTATTACGAACGCACTTCTCTTATGCCTTCCCCTTCGTCTTCGTTGCTCGAGCAATGCCAATCACGAGTCACCAAACTCTACCCTCACCAACTATATATCCCTTTCTTCCTTTTTTCTTCCCTTTTCTCTCGTCGCCTCCTCTCTGGATTCCAGACACAGAAAGCATACACTGTTCACGAGATACGGATGCACCGATACGGACACCAATTTGTCTCTAGGGAAGTCTGTTCGTCGCTACCACCGCTGATTTTCGTCGGAACTTTGGCGATGTTCGAAACGAAGCCGTCGAATAATCCCAGTTATCGAGCACGCGGTCTCTCGATTCGCTGCACAAACAGAAACGAAAACAGAAAGTGGTTATGTCGTTCGGAGTTGCTGGTTCAAGGAGAACGATCGACCACTGCTGGTCGGCCGATGTGTGTTTTGGAAAGCATCGCTTTGTTCGGCCAGGACGAACGCGAAGTTTTGTCACGAGAACGTGGTGGGGGGACCGCGCGACTTTCGAAACGGGCAGAAAAGTTTTGGGAAACGTGGATTTTGAAATTTAACCGCTTCCCGTGGAAAGACTGTTTCATAATACACGTTCGAGTTGTTCTCAATTTTGTGGTTTCGATACCATAATGCTCGACGTAATTATTATTTTGCGATTATTTGGATATTTATGATATTCGTAAATATTGTAATTTCTTTGATTTTTCTGCATTCTGCGATGAACGGTGTGATTTATATCTCGTGACAGAACCTCGAATTCGCTCTACATGTATGACAATTTTACCCATTTTGAACATTGACATTATACCAAGGTTCAAAATGTGTGTAGATATCATGCGAAACTTACTGACTAGGATTCGTAAAGCTTTGAAATAAAGGAAATTAATAATACTGTTCGATAACAGGACTTTTACTTTTCCATGAATCCTGTCTACATTTTGGTTGCACTTGTAATTGTATATTATTTATAGCATGCATATGTGTACAGGTAAGGTGGCGCAAAAATTCTATCCCTTTCTGCTCATTGTCACGTCCAAATTGCTGTCTCAGATTTACATTTGCACAGTTGATTGGAAAATTTCGATTGTAAAGGACAGAAACGATAGACAAATCCCGGTGAGTGTGGATAAATTTACATGCATATTGATTTTATGAAAATCGAACCGTAAAGGTGGCTTATGCTGGAGAAAAAAGTTGTTCCAATATCAAAAGATTCATTTCATCGGAAGAAGCGACACTGATTTTATTAGAAAATTTAATACGCACCGAAGACTGTAGAAACTGAATTTAAATATTTTACGAATATATTATAAAACCTAATTTGAAGTTATCTCGCATGATTTATCAGATATTTAATTTATCACGATCCATCACGTGGAGAAATATTGCTATGCCATACTCCATACCTCTCAGACGTAATTTTAGTAAATTATCATTTAAATTGCGAATTTCATCGCTGATTTGATAAAAATATTTGAACGAAGAGTAGGAAATAGAATGAAAAGTTAATTATCTAATGAAAGAGGAAGAGTATCATTGCTGTAATCAACAATGGAAATAGAAAATTCTTCGATTCTTGAAAATACTAATGGTGTCTCGTATCAATTAAAAAGAAAGCAATAAACTGATATGCCCTACAAAATTGAAAAAAAAACAGATACAAAGACAACCATTTCTATTATATTGTTTTTCAAATACAATGAAGTATCTCAAATAAAATCCAGCGAAATTTAATAAAATCAAATTTCGATTAATCTCCAATTAATTATTGATTATTTAATTCGTCACGATGAATCGTGTCGAGAAATTTTGCCAACGATAATATTAAATTCATTCAGAGTGAAACAAAATAGCCATCTCCCTATAAAATGTACACACTCAACATTTACTTTTCACAGGATATTTCCACGTACCAAGTCCTTCATCCTATTTTCCCAGGAACGTATAAAATTTCTGCACTCACCGGGTACCTTTGCAACGATGCAGGCATACCTCGACTAACCTAAACCATTCCACCGACAATTATTTTCACGCATATTTATTTCCTTCCCACGTATTTACACCAACACCTCGTTCCACCTCTAATTAACTCGCGGAGGAGTGGTCATAAAGAAGATGCGCGCTTCTTCCAAAAAAGGGAACCGTCTAGGAAGATAGGGTAGCGCCACGTATCCACGAAGAAGTCAGAGAAAACGGGGTGAAATCGGAGTAACGCGGATAGTTGAGGTGCATACGTGGAACACCTTTTGCGCGAAACGGCCCCGCAACGAGTCAATTAAAAGTTTAAGTTTAATTAGAAACTCGGCTCGTATACACGCCGCGAACCACCATTGAGCCGCTGCTCGATCTCCCTTAACGCGCTCTTCGTTCGCCATTTTCCTCAGCATCCTTCCAGCTTCGCGTCTTTCGTTTTCCTGCTCGAGTTACCGCCGCCTTCGTTTCCGGTTCGCCTGCTCCCCCATGCAGCTTTGTTCAATTATACACCACTGTCTTCCGATGAATAATTAAAAATTTCGAACCAGATTGGAATACTATAGGGAATTCTGAGAGCAGAAGTTGCAGCAACGTGATTTACGTTGACCCAAGTGTCTAAATATAATATACAACGAATGTCCGAATTATTTCTGATGAATTTTTATTAACGCGTGTTTGGGAAACAGAGAAAGAAATTATTCTTTATAAATATTCGGTCGAAAGTCCTTTTTCCATTGAAGAAATATATGACAAACTGGGAACAAATTTAATAAAAAATATCAGAGATATTATACTGAAACAAGGGAAATTTTACTTGCTTGTACACAGTCGAAGGAGTGTCTATTACAATGGCATAGCTACCAAAAACCAGAAAATACGTTCAAAACAGGAGAAAATAAATTTCACTTCGTTATATGCCACTGACAAGATTTCCGAGAAAACTTGATGAAGCTAATGTTAATCTATAGACACAACTGTAGGAAAGAAAAATGAGCAAATTGAATTTCATTATACACGGTTAAAGAGATTTCTACCAGAAATAATTCTGAAAATGAACGATTCCCCGGCATTTACCTCATTTTCCGCGAGTGCTCTAATACGCGTGAACGCGGCTACACTTTCGAAGACACCCTATGTACAGCATCCCCTTTTGTCTGGGTCTCGAGCCACGGGTCAAGTCACCGGGGCGGTGGTATTTACCGGAAGCAAAAGCGTTAGAAAATGGGACAGAGATGAGAAACTGCGACGTTCACCGCTCGCTCGACAATCTGCAGCTTCTTCAGGGATTTTCGGCGGCTCGAGTGTCCCTTTGTTTCGAACGGTATCGCGCTTCGCGTTCGAAGACGCCTGGGAAGCATCTGGAAAAGCTTCCTCCCGTTATTTACCGGGAGCACGACGGAACCGAACGAAACGACGCCCAAGCGTAATGAGCGCACTGGGAGGGTACAAAAAACAACCCCCGAACGAAGTCCCGAGTCCGATTTCGCCTCGGCTACGGTAAACTCCGTTCGAAGGGATTCTTGAAACGATTTCAACCACCCCCCTTCACTATTCTTCAACTTTTGCCTAAACCTAAGTGCTCTCGAGATATTTCGGAAATCTTAATTTGAGAATTTTGTCGAATTAAGGCGAAGATGGAATATTCTGTAATTGGAGAGAAACTGGAGGATAGTAAAAATGAGAATTGAACGATTTTGCAGGGGTTTAGAGCGGTAAGAAATATTTTTGATTTTAAAAATGTATAATTAATTATTTTAGTAATTTTGGAATCCTATGTGATTGGAAAGTATGTCCGTATACCACTATTCATATTATCTTGTCGTTATAATAATTTCATTATCTAGCGCTATTTTTTTATTACTATAATATGGAATTACGTATTAACAATAATTCAGAGCGTAGAATATTTTGGACTATAATCTTCCCCCGCTTCGTTCTGCATTTAATCGATCTACGAGGATTTCGAATTGTATGGACTATCGAAAGCGATAGGGAAGTGAAGTTTGAAATTCCGAGAACTATGTTCCTGTCTCCGTTAAAATTCCAGCAACGACACCCTGTCTTTGCTTACATTAGAATTCTGAGAAATACGTTTGTATATCCGCGTAACATTGAAATTCTAAGAAGTAATTCGTGGCATAACAGAGAGGTAAATATTTGTTCGTGACAAAAGGAATCAAGCACCTTTCGTTTCGAAGAAGAACAATCTTCGGCAAGCTTATGCTATTCGTATAATTCCATACAGAGAATGTTACGTTGTTTACACACATCCTATCCGATGTACTTCGAAGATTAATTTACAATTAAAATAAGGACACTAAAATTTTATAATTTAATATGAAGATTCCTAATGCCTATTTAATTACCTTCTTCTGCTCGCTATAATTAAAATGTTCAATATCTGTATTCTAAACTCGATCAAATGAAATACTTAATAAACCGAAGTAAATGAAAGTCACGTATTCTAATGTAATCCCATACCGAAAAGGAATTTTCGGAAGCTAACTCAATCTCCATATTCCAAAATATCCGCAAACCTCGGTGCAATTTCGAAAAATCTAATAATCACGAAATTCTCGTATATTACACGAATACACGAGGAGTGCCGAGGGAAGAATAGACGTGAGGATTCTATGGAAACAAAGCAACGAAGAAAATAATCGTTGCAAGCAGGTTCAGGTTCGTTCGAGAATCTCGTTCGACGTCCATAGAAACACAAACGCAGAAGAAAGAGCAAAAACAGTTCCGGGTAAGACGAACGAGCACGAAGAAAGTCAAACTCGGTGCTGGGGGGCGAAGATAGAGGCACAATTACCGGAACTGCCACCACTGTCAAGTGTCAAAGGGGTCACGAATAATTTAGTACGCGAGCTGGGAGCTGCTGCGAAGCCTTGGCGCGAGAAAGGGGGCGAGAAAGGGGACGAAGAAGGAGGGCGAGAAAGAAAGCGAGGGAAGGACAGAGGGAAACAGCGACGCCCGCGGGCTGAGAAAAGCTCGCAGGAGAGAGAGCCTCGCTCTCTCGGATTACCCTCTAACGCTTTTGTCCTTTGCCGTTTCTCCCTTTCGTCCTTCTGCCCCTCTTTCTCTCACTTCATCGCTCGTCGCGTAGGCTGGTTCCACGACGACGAGCTCCTTCTAGCCACTCTAATCCCACCTCGACTTCCCTTTACCGCTGACCACTTGACGCGTTAAAACGTCAAATTAAAATCTCGAGACGCTTTGAGAGAAGGAGACGATTAGTGTGGAGAGAAAGAGCAGTTTCCGACCGACACCGATTCTACTTCGTCTCTATGTACCTATATCCGTACGCCCATTATATCCATTCTTTTCCACCACTTTCACACGCATAGATCCCAACCTGTTTCCTCGGTGTGGATTCAAGGCCCGTTGTCCTCCTCAAGCACCATCCGCCACCCGGTTGGGGTCCTCTCGCGTTTCCGTGGCTGCGTTTAATTCAACTAGAGGTCGTCCAGTCGGACACGACAGTGCCGGTGATACTCGAACGTGGAACAGACGCGAACTCGCGATAGCGTGAATTAAAGCGCACGGCGATCTCGTCGACGCCACCTGAGCACTACGACTGACGACAAGAGCCGAGCAGCCGGCCATCGTATCTTCGGATAAGCCTTATCGGTGCCCAAAGACCCCACCCTTCGCCCATGGGCCGCATCCCTCACGGGCGTAGCAGCGCGTTTTCACGTTCGGCCGTACGGAGCCGACTCACGGTACGCTTCCTCGCGTGTAAGCCCGCCTAAGCGCCTCTACGAGCATTTACGCTCGACTTTCTTCGGTGCTTTCACCGCCAACAGCTGCC